CGGGAAGCGAACCGGAGCTCCGGCGCGGCGCTGCGGCCGCCAGGGAACTCAGCTCAGGTGCGCGGCGAGAGGGGCGCGGGCTAGGGCCCGCCCGCTGGGACCTGAGCAGTACGAGGCGCTTGCGCGGGCTAGACCACTGCCACCACCGACTGCCCGGCCCTGGGATCGGGCTCCTAGTCCCCGACCGCAGCGACGCCGGGGTCCCCCCGCCCCTGAGAGCTGGCTGCGGGGCTCAGGCCCGCCCCTGCCAGCCTTGGGACGCACCGCTCCACCCTCAGCCAGCCTGCGCCCGCCCTCGACCCAGGATTTCTGGGGTATTGGCCGCGCCTCTGGGTGATCCCTCAGGGCTCAAGTTGCAAGGGGGCGGGCCCCGGCCGGAGGTGGAGTCTCCCGCCAATTCAAGCTTTGGCTATAAATTGAGCTCCCTGCGCCACCGAAGACCAGATGCCTCGCCAGGCCGCCTCGCGGTTGGTGGTGGGAGAAGGTGAAGGACCCCCGGGGGCTTCAGGGCCCGTGGCCACCATGCTCCGCTCCCTGCTGCTTCACTCTCTGAGGCTCTGCGCCCAGACCGCCTCGTGCCTCGTGCTGTTCCCGCGCTTCCTGGGCACGGCCTTCATGCTCTGGCTTTTAGATTTCTTGTGCATCCGCAAGCATTTCCTGCGCCGTCGCCATCCTGACCACCCTGAACCCGAAGTAGAGCTCAACAGTGAAGGAGAGGAGGTGCCCCCCGACGACCCACCCATCTGCGTATCGGACGACAACCGTCTGTGCACCCTAGCCTCTCTCAAGGCCGTGTGGCATGGCCAAAAGTTGGATTTCTTCAAGCAGGCCCACGAGGGTGGCCCTGCGCCTAACTCGGAGGTCATCCGACCTGATGGCTTCCAAAGCCAGCGCATCCTCGACTACGCACAAGGGAGCCGCCCGCTGGTGCTCAATTTTGGCAGCTGTACCTGACCACCGTTCATGGCGCGAATGAGCGCCTTCCAGCGCCTGGTCACCAAGTACCAGCGTGACGTCGACTTCCTCATCATCTACATCGAGGAAGCCCATCCATCCGACGGCTGGGTCACCTCAGATTCGCCCTACACCATCCCACAGCACCGCAGCCTGGAGGACCGTGTCAGTGCGGCAAGGGTCCTGCAGCAAGGTGCACCTGGCTGTCCTCTGGTCCTGGACACCATGGCCAACTCCAGCAGTTCCGCATATGGTGCCTATTTTGAGCGCCTCTACGTCATCCAGAGTGGCACCATCATGTACCAGGGAGGCCGTGGCCCCGATGGGTACCAGGTGTCTGAGCTGCGCACTTGGCTGGAGCGCTATGATGAGCAGTTGCACGGTACTAGGCCACGTCAGTTCTAAATAACCAAGGGACCAGTGACAGACATTGGCGGGCTGGGTCCTCGGGCCTTCGAAGCCCACATGCTAGTGCTACAAACGAAGTCAAGATTGTCGGGGTGCCCATGACACAGATGCGCACAGCCACAGAACTCAGAACTGAGTCTGGCTCTCAGCCACCTAAAGACTTAGCATCCCTAAGACTGCTATAGTGACTCCCTTTTGTACCTGCTTGGTTTGCTCTCGGGAGCATCGCTGTGGCTCAAACTGGCATCTTTGTCCCTGCTGGAGTTTACCTGCTGGACTTTCTCACACTTGCTCCCCAGCGCTCCTCCAGCAACTCCATAGTCCCCAGCATCTCACAGATCAGACTTGTCGGCCACGCCCGCGCGCGCCCTGAGCGCAGCTGGGTTCCAGCAGCGCCACAGGCTCTTGCTAGTTGCCTGGCACCCACCTGTCGCGCGCGCAGGGAGTCCTGCTGCTTTTGTGTTTATTTCTTGTCCCTGGGTTGGGGGAGGGGTTGGGGATAGGGGAAGGGTGGGCAGGGTATTTTCCCCGCCTAGCTTTGGGTGCGCTGGAGCCCGGCTGCTGATGACGAACCGTCTCTAACTGGGCTTGACCACGGGTCGGCTCTGAATTGCAGGGGAGCTCTAAAACAGCGCTTAAAGTAAGAGGGGGAGAGTGCTCTGGATCCCATGAGGAACCTTCCAAAATGGGGTGGGAGAGGGACGTGGTAAGGGGTAGGCTTTGGGACCAAAGAAGTGGCTTGAGGCATTGGCGAGGTTCGCAGGGCCCCAGAGGGAGGCTAGAACTCCTTGGAGAAGGGGGAGGGGGGCTAGTTCGAAGAAAGGGAGATGGGGGAGATCCTGGGAGTCCTAGGCAGAGTGTTACGATTGGGGGCGGGGTAGGGTGGGGGAATGAAGACCAGTCAGTGAGTGTTGTGTTGGAAACATTCCTTGTGTATAAACTTTTAAGCTACAATAATAAAGACTTGAAGGAAGTTGTTCTGATTGCCTTGGTCAGTTTATTTTCTCTCGTATCTCTGAAAAGCAAGAAGAATTAAGCACCAATTTCTCCCTTGCGTCCCCATAGTGACTGGGGGGCGGGGCGGCGGGGGGAGAGAAGGGCTCGAAAGATCCCAGGCCTTGCAGTGGGGGCGCGCGAGAGGGATGCCTTGGGAAGGGATTCGCCCTGGGACCGCAGACGCACACCACACCTGGGCAGAGAACTTGGGGCAAGAAGAAGACTCGGGATACAGAGACCCACGAGAAAGAGACCTGTGAGGCAAGAGGTCTTCATTTGCCACTGCATGTGTCCGCGCTCGAGCGCGCGCGCGCGCACACACACACACATGCACACTCAGCCAGACACTAGAACAGCTATAGCGCCGTCTAACTTATCCCAGTTTGGGATGTTGCTGGAAGAAGTGTGCTGTGCGGGGCGAAAGAGACTCTGAACCTCCAAGGGCTAGGTTTCCGCCCTCTGAGTTGCCGTTGCGCCCCTGGCCCAGCCCTTTGTGCCGCACCTTCTGGGATGGTCTCCGACCATCCCTCCAGGTTGCTGGGAGGTGCGACTAGGAAAGCGCACCGGGGCACAGAGGCTCCATTACCCAGGCACAGCTCCCAGAGCTGGGATGGGGAATGCCCGCGCCCAGGACACCCCTCCTCCCGCTTCCCACGCCTCAGGCAAACCTCACTGCCGCCCACCCCTCACCCTGCTTGGGAATGGGAAGCAGAGAAGAAGACAAGGAGGATGGGAAAGACCGGGGGCGGAGGAGGGTGGGGAGGGAGGTCGTGGCGGCTGGCACCCATCCCTGTGCAGTCGTGGCTAGGAGCTCTCGCTCAAGCCTCGCCCTCACACTTTCCCCCTGCAGCTCCCAGAGAGAGTTGAAAGAGGCTCCCGGAGCATGAGAGATCAGCGCGCCCTGCACCTCTCTCTGCTGGGAGCATCTTAGGGGGAAAAGTGAGATAAACATAGTTAAGGGGGTCTGGGGGCAGAGTTGAGGACCGGGGTGAAAGGACTATGAACCCTGGGTAGTCTGAGCCCCGGGGGCATGGAGGTGTGTGGCACACATCTTGGTGCAAGGCGCGCGCGTGGGTGAGTAGAGACGCGACAGGCAAAATGGAAGACAGGCCCTTGCCCAGCCAGCTCGTCCCGATTCCCCGGGCAGCGCTCCCCCTCCCCCGCCGCTCTTCCCTGAAAACCCTTGGAACTGACACCCTAACATCGGTGAATTATTTTTTTATTGTATATATTTTTTGCTTTGAAAATACTTCAATTGAAAAATAACTTTTAAGGGAAAAAATCAGCACAGATGGTATTTCTGCGTCCCCCCCACCCCCCCGCGCGCACTTCTCATCCCAAAACCTCAGGAAGAATAAACACAGAGAATGCGCGGCGGAGCTGCCGCCTGGAGCTGGGCAGGACCCGCCCTAAGAACTCAGTTACCCTGCAAAGGCTCTGCCCGACTAATCTGGGTCCCCACTAGCCACTTGAGGGTCTCCTCGGGTGCAGGAAGTAACCCCTCTCTGGGTGTGATTAGCGAAACAGAGTTTTCCCAGGCGTCCGGGCCAGAGCTGCAAGAGCTCCTTGAGTCCCAGAAGCTCCTGTCCTCCCGTCAACCCCTACCCCAGCTCCAACAGAGTCTCAACGCCCCTCTTCCTTCCTTCCTCCTTCCTTCCTCTTTCCTTGCCTTTCCTTTCTCTTCCTTCCCTCACTCTTGCTTTCTTTCCCTCTTTCCTGAAAAAAAAAGAAAGAATATCCTTTTCTTATTAAAGTAATGTGTGCTCATTACAGAAAACAAAGTAAAGCCTGAAGAAAATAAACCGACTGTGGTAACCTCCCTTGCCTGTGTGCTGTCGCCACTTGTAAATATCGATCTTAAAAGCAAAAGCAGATCCCGCCTTTGAAGCTCACCATTAACTTTTACCCACCCTGCCTCTCACACTCTCCTTCTTTGTATATCAATAACTGAGATTTGAACAGTGCTAACAGCACGGAGTCATAAGGAAAGGCAGGGACATCAGTCTGGGTGGGCACTCCAAAGGCCACAAAATCTGCCCCTCTGTCCAGGGCATGGCACATTTCCTAATGTGAAAGAGCCAAGTCAGCACAGGCGACCATCTTCACAGACTTGCGTGCTTTATAGCATGTTGCTAAACTGCCTTCCAGAAAACTGTGATTGGAATTGTTTCGTATTTTCCCGATGTGCCCCCTTCTTTATTTTTAACTAAAAACCACAGAGATGGCACATAAGCTTATTCTCCATATTAAATTTTAAAGACAGAACATACAGTGGAACGCAGAGTCCTGGCTGAGAGCAGTTTTCTGACTAAACATCAGGACCCAGCCACGGGCAGGGAAGTCAATGTATCCCTTGGGCGGTGAAATCAGCTATCCCTTCAAGTCACGAAACCTGAAGAACTGAAACAGAATGCGTACAATAAATATACCAGTGTGTGCTTCACCCAGGGTATTGGGCAAGTGCAGCGTCCTGCAATGGTAAGAAGGGAGGGA